GTATGTGGTTAGGGGGGAACAGTCCTTAAACAAAGACATCATGCTGGGAAAGAGAGTGAAAGAGAAAAAGACACTTAATGAGACAGATTGACAATGACTGCAAAAGTGGACTTGACTAGGACAGAGATTGTGAGATACAACTGCAAGGTACAATGAGGTTTGGATTTGATGTTCATGAGGTCACTAGGAGTTGCAGTCAACTCAAGGCACCTAACAACAACAGTAGGCACTTCTGTTCTTTCTTAGAGATCTTTCCACTGCAATTGTCCTGAGAGGAAATGATTGTTGGTAATCAAAGGTCCAAAGAAAAAGCAAATGTCCTCTGGACCTTTGATTCATGGCAATTTCTGGGGTCATGGAGCGGTGGCTTCCAGCAATCTAACTCATCATGAGCTTGCCATAAATCAGACTTGTATTAATAGCAGACAAGAATACGCATTTCCTTGGAACATTTGTGTTACTTGTGAAGTCAACACAACAAACATATGGTGCATCTATCAAGTGCCTGCACTGTGGGAGGTATTAGGAATTCAAAGTGGAATAAGATATAATCTTTGACTTTTTTGGAACTAATGGTCTAACACAAGAGATGAATGTTGCCAAAGACAATATAGCATATCTACAATTCATTTCACATGAATTTTGAAAGGAAAAACTGGTGTTCAGTCATGTAGAAGAAGTTAAATAACATGGGCCACACCACACATTAGCCACTGTGAACCTGGGCTGCCTTTGAGTTGGACATAATTATTATATAAGCATTTTTACATGCTCTGAGCATAATGGCATATTCCAGTTGACCTTTCACCAGAACTACTTCTTTTCAACTTAGAGAAAATGCTAAATTTGGGATTCTTGGCAACTTCTGAAACTGTGGCCATCTTACATCAAGCAGTATAAACTGTGTCTAGATTCACTCGTGCCTGAACGAGAATATTTTTTAGTCTCAGGACAGAGGCACTGCAAGAGCTTTCCCATTTCTCATTTTAGGAGAATCAGAGTTGAGGCAAGGTTGTGTCATCTGCATAAGAAGGTAACTGATGCGTCTTCTTCCAATGCTGATGATACAACACAATCAGTGTTCTGGAATTCCCATTCTTCTCAACATTAGCCATAATTTGTTATGATGCACACAGATGACATAGCTTTGCCTGCTGAAAGTATGGAGGACTTGAAGCACTTGCTACAGAAGGTTAACCTTTGTAACCTTCAATATGGACTGCACTTCAAGGTCAAGAAAACAAAAATCCTTGCCACTGGATTGTCAGAGGCAACATCATGATGGACAGAAAAAGGACTGAGGTTGTCAATGACTTCATCTTACTTGGATCCACAATCAGCACACTTAGTACCAAAACTCAAAAGATCAGGAGACATCTTGCACTGACTGTAGGAGATACAACTGCAAGATACAATGAGAAGTCCCTGATGTCTGTAGTTAGGTACCTCTCCAAATTATTGAGGATAAATG